GTCCTTGAAAAAGAGCAGTTTGTGTCAGAGCTATCTCAGCTCCACCTACCTCCCAGGATGTCTGTTGTGGGGAGGGGAAGAGAAAGGAGTTTGTAAGCCGCTCTGAGACTCCAAGTGAAGGGCGGGGTATAAATCCAATCTCTTCTTCTTCTTTGCTGGAGACACCATAGGTCAGTTTGAACTTGATGGCATTTACATGCATACTAGGTAGCAACCTAGAAGGTTGAACATCTAAAACATAGAACAAAATACATCTATTTATTGCAAAGTGCACAAAAACTAGAGATTAAAAACAACATACATACAATGCAGATAAAAACACAAAGGTAGTGGGTATCACGTTACATCCACCAAGACAAAGTATACACCAACAAATGTGGGTTGCATGTACAATAACTACTGGATCAAAATATTGGTTACACATATAATAACCACAGGAGCAAACATGTTTCATCCCACAGGGCCTTCTTCAGTGGTCTAAACACACATTTATATATATATAAAAATATCTGTTCCAGGCCAAGCAGATTGTATATGAATCAATGGAACAGTGTAGCTCCAAATAATAGTTATAAAGTTTTGAATTCAATCAGGCCTGCATATACTGAGGAACCTGCACCCATCAGAGTGCAACCATTCTGCCTTTGGCTGTTCTTCTACTCACAGTGTGTGTCCATGTGTCAACCACAAGTGAAGCTTTCTCCTGGCTAGCTGGACCAGATTTTCAACTTTTATTTATATTTTGCTAAAGGAAATTTCTGTCCCTTTTAATTTGCAGAAACACAAGGGAAACTGTACAAGCAGTATTCTGCCCAGATGCTTAACAAGAAGGAAGCCCACGTTTGCTTTCTGGCCAATGGGTGGACATCCCTGTGGTGATTGAAATGTCAGGAAGTGGAGATTCCATGTTTCAAAAATTCTCTGGCTTGTATTTAGTGGTTAATGATGAAGACACCAGCAGGGTTTGCACTTCCCTGTTTATCAAAACTTTCTTTGCTCCCCTGACCTGAATAGCTCAGGCAAGTCCAATCTCCTCAAATCTCGGAATCTCAGCAGGGCCGGCCCTGGCTAGTATTTGGATGGGAGACCTCCAAGGAATACCAAGGTTTTGACACAGAGGAAGGTGATGGGAAGCCACCTCTGAGTGTCCCTTGCCTTCAAGCCCCACTAGGGGTCACCAGATGTCAGCTTGGCATGATAGCAAAAAATAAAAAGCCTTTCTTTACCGTTTTTGGAACAAAGAAAACAAATATATCTGAAGGGGGCATGATTCAATGGACTGGCTAATATAGGCCTCAAGCAGGCTCAGCATCAAAGGCCAAGTTTCCTTTTGATCTTGCCCTTCACCCATGTCTTTGGCCATGTCCAAGTAGAGGAGAACACCAACGCAACCCAGATGTGGTTCAGCTGCTTTTAGCAATCTAGCAAGATCTTCCCAACTTCCTCTGCTTCCAGAAATGCCTCTGGCCATTCACAGGCTAAGTACCTGCAAGCAGAGGAGAAAAGCCAGCTCAGTCCAGATCTTCCCAATTTCCTCTTCTGCCAGAAATGCCTCTGGCCATTCACAGGCTAAGTACCTGCAAGCAGAGGAGAAAACAAACCCAACCTGAATGTGGTTCAGCTGCTTTTAGCAATCTAGCAAGATCTTCCCAACTTCCTTCCCTGCCTTTCAGGGAAGTGTGTGTGGAAGAAGAAGACGACGATGAAGAAGAAGATTGGATTTATACCCCACCCTTCACTACCCAAAGGAGTCTCAGAGTGGCTTACAAACTCCTTTCTCTTCCCCTCCCCACAACACACACCCTGTGAGGTAGGTGGGGCTGAGAGAGCTCTGACAGGAACTGCTCTTTTTCAAGAACAGCTCTGACAGAACTGTGGATTGCCCAAGGTCATCCAGCAGGTACAAGTAGAGGAGTGGGGAATCAAACCCGGTTCTCCCAGATTAGAGTCCGCGCACTTAACCACTACACCAAACTGGTGCACTTAACCACTACACCAAACTGTGTGTGTGTGTTTTCTAATCCTGAGCCAATTCACCGACCCATTGAGCTGAATCCTGCCAAGACTAACTGTGCCCCATTTCTTAAAAGACAAAGAAAAAACACAACTGTCTGTTGTTTGTCTCCCTTCCAGTGCTCAGTCAGCTCCAGATGTAGCCCATTCCATTCTGTGCTTTGAGAAGAATAAGAGAGAGACAATTGGGTGAGACAATGGGTCTGCTTTCTTAAAACAATTTTTAGGCTTTCAGCAAAAGGAGCGGCTTCCTTCTTAGAGCTTTCCAAATCATTCTAAGCTTTTAAAAGGCCACATGAATGCACAGCAATAGACCAATTACAGCCCTCCAGTTCACAGATGTTCGCCGGAAAATATTCACTCGAGTTGCACTTCAATACATTGGAGGGGAGAAAAATCATATTCAAGAGCCCCCTCCAAGAAGACATAACTTTGGTGCAGCAAAAAATCTGCATTCATCTTCTTCTTAGTTATGATCCAGTCAGATCCCAATGAGCCATGTCCTACAGATGTAAAAGGGCAATTTTCCACTTGAACAAAAATTTAAATAAAAATGTCTCTGTTTCCCCCGGAACTCTTAGCTTCATTGCCACTGTTCCTTCCGACGTTCCTGCCGGCTTGAGTTTCATGAAGCAAATGAAGGCGGCTTCAAGGAACCACGGTTGCTTGAGTGCCATGCCTTTTCAAGTGGTTTAAAGTGCCCCACTCGGGTACACATGATATGAGCAAACAGAGGGGAAACGGGAAACCATATATCACTTTGTACTCGTACTCTCTTCTGCAGAGCTGAGAACAGCAAGTATAGGGTTCCTTTATAGTTTCTGTCCAAGAATTTTCCCCAACCTTTTTGAGTTCAGAGTAGGGATCCCAAGTCCCCCCGGGGGGCGGGGAAACCCCCGCCCCAGAGGCCCGTTCCCCGGCGCCACCAGATCAGGCCCCGGGGGAACTCCTCCCCGACGTGCGCGTCACCCGGAAGTGACGGGAGGACGCTGCGCAGGCTGGGGGCGGGGCCACGGCCATACAAGGGAAAACTCTTTTGTTGGCAGGGTGATGTCTCTACTTTTTATTATGCTGTCTAGGTTTGCCATTGCTTTCTTCTCAAGCTACACACACACAATTATCCAAGGCTCCTGGGCTTGTCAAATTATCTTTTTAGGCGAGCAATCTCTGCTTCAGGTGCTTCCACCAATGAGGCTAGACGAGAGGCAGCCTGAGAAAGGGCTTTCTCGGTGGTGGCACCAAAACTTTGGAACTCCCTCCCCAGGGAGATTTGTCTGTCTCCCTCTGTCGGTGTCTTTCTGCTGGAGGTAAAGACTTCTTTGTTACATTTGACATAACTCCCAATAACAGTTATTGCCCCCCTCCCCCTCCTCACTGGTGTTGTGCGTTTATGTGTAGTGGTTAAGTGTGCGGTGTTTGGTGTAGTGGTTAAGTGTGCGGACTCTAATCTGGGAGAACCGGGTTTGATTCCCCACTCCTCCACTTGCACCTGCTGATGTGACCTTGGGTCAGTCACAAGCTCTGGCACAGCTGTCCTTGAAAAAGAGCAGTTTGTGTCAGAGTTCTCTCAGCCCCACCCACCTCACAGGGTGTCTGTTGTGGGGAGGAGAAGGGAGAGGAGTTTGTAAGCCGCTCTGAGACTCCAAGTGAAGGGTGGGGTATAATCCAATCTCTTCTTCTTCTTCTTCTTCTTATATGTTTTACTGAATTATTTTATGTCTTATTGTAAATGTTCTTCTCATGTTCTAAGTTTTTGTTTAGATAGATAGATAGATAGATAGGAATTCCTCTAGAGCTGCAAAGCTATTTACCTGTAGCAAATTGCATGCAGTTGGAATGATTAAGGGACTGCATCATCTTCTCTGCAAGCAAAGGGTACAGCAGAGCAAAAAGTTTTCCATTTAGGGAAAAAAAAGACTGCTGAAAGGAGAATTTAACAGAAGTTTATAAAAAGACACATTGTATGGAGGAAGTGGATAGAGAGAACTTTTTTGTTGTAATTCTAGAATTCAGGAGTGCCCAATGCAGTAGAGGGGCAGATTCCTGACAGAGCAGTTCCTCAGTGGACCAGGCTCCCTCGGAAGATGGTGGGCTCTCCTCCTCTGGAGGTTTTTAAGCAGAGGCTAGATGGCCATCTGACAGCAATGCTGATTCTGTGAACTTAGACAGATCATGAAAGGGAGGGCGGGAAGGATTGCATCTGTTCTTGTGGCTCTTTCTTACATACCCAGGGAAATGCTGATTGCCATTTTGGGATCAGGAAGCAATTTTTCTCCAGGCCAGTTTGGCTGGAAATCATGGAGGTACAGGGCTCACTGCGGGTGTGGTGGGGAGGTATTTGTGAATTTCCTGCATTGTGCAGCGGGTTGGACTAGATGACCCTGGAGGTCCTTTCCAACTCTATGATTCTTTGACTCTATGATTCTGTGATCTTCTCGGCATGCAGAAAGTCCCCCATTCAATCCCCCAGCATCTTCAAGTTAGATGCTGGGGGACTGAACGGGAGAAGATCAGGTAGCAGGTGATGGGAAAGACCCCTGCCTGAGACTCGGAGAGCTGCTGCCAGTCTGAGTAGACAATGCTGACCTTGACGGACCGGTGGTCTGATTCAGTGCAAGTCAGCATCATGAGCATTCATGTGCATAGTGGCTTTTAAATGGGATGAGACATCATCATGGAGGGTTAAGTCCATCAACGGCTATTAACCATAGTGGTTAAATGGGAGATTTGTGTTCAGAAGCAGAAAACCTCTGAAAGCCAGTTGCTGGAGTCACAACAGAGAAAGAACCTCCCAGTCCATCTTGATGGCCACTGTGGGAAAGGAGATGTTGATCTAGATGAACCATTTGGTCTGATCCGACAGGGCTGTTCTTATGTAATTGGCATACCTATTGCAATCTTGGAGTAAACATTTATCTTCTCTTCAGCGTATGAATTATTTCTGTACCTGGTCAGCCTAACACACTCATCCCTTTTTCTCCCGGCAGGTAAATAATTACTGTTTAGAAGAAGTAACGCATGAAGAAGCTGTAGCAATATTGAAGAATACATCGGACGTAGTGTATTTAAAAGTTGGAAAGCCCACCACCATTTACATGACTGATCCCTATGGCCCACCAGATATTACCCATCGTAAGTGTTTGATGGTCTTTTGTTTCGGCTTGTTGTGAGCAGCTTTCCAAATTTGACTTTTCAGCCCTGTTCCATTTCCTATTCAGATTCAGCATACAAACCTTGTGAGGTAGGTTAGGCTAAGTGAATGTCACTGGCCCAACAGAGCAAAGCAGGAGAGCAAAGTAGGAGAGGTTTTGTACTAATGGTAGATTTCACAACATCAGTAGTACAGCACACAGTAAAAAGTAGCAAAGGATAACAAAAAAACAACCGTGAGCTGAATTTCCCGCAAAATATTCACAAAGGAGACTTCATTAAAGTGAAATGCATCTATTGTCTGAAGCTATCCATGTAATCCATCATAGGAAAATGCAGAAGCCAAAGAATAAATATACAAGATAAATATCCAAAACGTCTAAACATGGGAATAAGCAGTGAAGTGGCTCAATTTGAAGATGATATGAAGTTGTTTAGGGTGGTGAAAACCAGTAAGGATTGTGAGGCACTCCAAAGGGATCTGTCGAGGATGGGCGAGTGGGCGTCAACATGGCAAATGGGGTTCAATGTGGCCAAGTGCAAAGTGATGCACATTGGAGCCAAAAATCCTAACTATAAATACACGTTGATGGGGTCTGAACTGGCAGAGACTGACCAAGAGAGAGATCTTGGAGTCGTAGTAGATAACTCACTGAAAATGTCGAGACAGTGTGTGACTGCAATAAAAATGGCCAATGCTATGCTGGGGATTATTAGGAAGGGTATTGAAAACAGATCAGCCAATATCATAATCCCCCTATATAAATCAATGGTGCGACCTCATTTGGAATACTGTGTACAGTTCTGGTCACCACACCTTAAAAAGGATATTATAGCTTTGGAAAAAGTGCAGAAAAGGGCAACTCGAGTGATAAAAGGGTTGGAACACTTTCCCTATGAAGAAAGGTTAAAGCGCTTGGGGCTCTTTGGCTTGGAGAAATGACGGCTGAGGGGTGACATGATTGAGGTTTATAAGATTATGCATGGGATAGAGCAGGTAGAGAAAGAGGTACTTTTCTCCCTTTCTCACAATACAAGAACTCATGGGCACTCCATGAAATTGCTGAGCGGTTGGGTTAGAACAGATAAAAGGAAGCACTTCTTCACCCAAAGAGTGATTAACACTTGGAATTCACTGCCACAGGAGGTGGTGGTGGCTAGAAGCATGGGCAGCTTCAAGAGGGAATTAGATATTTAGCAGAGGCCCATCGGTGGCTATTAGCCACAAGGTATAGATAGGGGCTCTGGGGCAAGGGATGCACTGTATTCTTGGTGCTTGGGGGGGGGTCAATAGTGGGAGGGCTTCTAATGTCCTGGCCCCACTGCTGGACCTCCTGATGGCACCTGGTATTTTTGGCCACTGTGTGACAGAGTGTTGGACTGGATGGGCCTTTGGCCTGATCCAACATTGGCTTCTCTTATGTTCTTATATAGTTGTTCTTTGTTCCTGAGGAAGGGCCAGAAGTCTGAAACACTGGAAAAATTACCTAGGAAAAGTGTTGGACTTTTTGGATATTTATCTTGTATATTTAGTCTTTGGCTTCTTCATTTTCCTATGATGGACTTATTTGGCTTCTGCATGTTCCCATGATGGATTATATGGATAGATTTAGACAACAGATGCATTTCACTTTGATGACGTCTCCTTTGTGAATAATTTGTAGGAAATTCAGCTCAACGTTGTTTTTTGTTATTCTTTGCTAATGGTAGAGTTCCCATGCTCTTGCAGAAAATAAATCTGTTGCAGGCAGCATCTTTTTAGTAAACACTTCATCTTTGCATTCACAGCAGCAATGAAAGCAAAATGGGGTGGGGAGTCTCCCCCTAACACACATCCAGATTATGAAGACGAACTGGTTGTGGCTTACCAAAGCCCAAGTAAATGCATTAGTCTTTAAGGTGTTGCAAGACTCGGTTAGTTTCACGCTACAACACTTTCCCCTTTATGTTAAAATTGATGCTCTGTCTTCCAATATTTTCTTGAAAAGGACATTTGACTCGATGACCTACAGCAGGAATCCCCAGCCTTTTTGATCCGGTGGGCTGCTTTGGAATTCTGACACTGGGTGGTGGGCGCAACTACAAAATGCCTGCAACAGAAGGCGGAGCCCACCACAAAATGGCTGCTGCATGAGGCGGGTCCAACCACGCATAGGGAGCTCAAGCGCTGGGAAGAAGAGAGTCAATTTAAGGGAAATACACTGGGAAAGGGGAGAGAGAGAACAAAACCAACACTGGGGTAGGCAGCAGGAACTCATTAGCATATAGGCCACAACCAACAGCAAAACCCATTAGCATATTAGGCCACACCCCTGACAGCAGAGCTCATTAGCACATTAGGCCACACCCCCATGCCTTCCCTTGGCTTGGGTGGGGAAGCCGGCCCTTGGACAGGCTGGGGAAGGCACGGGGAGGTATTTAAATGCCTCCCTGATCCTTCCAGGACCCCCCTGGACCATCCCCCTTAGATTTGCCGGGGGGGGTCGCTCTCCAGGCCTTCCCTCTGTAGCCACGCACGCAGAGGTTTTGGCTTCAGTGGATATGGCCAACTCTGAAGCCAGCCGGAACTCCGTTCCTGTGCGTTCCTGCCCAAAAATAGCCCTGGTGGTAGCAGCTGTTTTAATCGGCACAGCCCATCAGATCTGCAGTGGTGAATCAGAAGCTCTGCTGGGGAAGAGCCCCACGTAGCCTCACCCGGTTTCTAAAATCACTTGTTGGACACCAGGAAAGGTGCTGGCAGTGCCATGGTGCCCTTGGTACCACCTTGGGGACCTCTGACCTCGAACCTGCAACAGTTGCTCATCTAATGCTCCTACCTTCCCTTAGCAGAGATATAATTCCTCTTAACATCTGTATTGTACTTGTCCTAGTATGTTTCGTGTCACTAACATTAAATATTTATTTGCTTTGTAATCTCCAGCTTATTCTCCACCCATGGAAAACCATATACTGTCTTCAGGCAACAACGGCACTTTAGAATACAAGGCATCTTTGGCCTCTATCTCTCCGGGAAGATATTCGCCTATCCCAAAGCACATGCTAGTGGAGGATGACTATACCAGGTCAGATATCCATCTTTACTTGAGTGCCTTTGATTGATTTCTTGCTTCAGGGAGCGTGATTTTAATACCATTATTAGAACCTCAGCCAGGCATAAACGAAACGGTAATCTCGTTATGGCAGAAAGAGATATCAGGCCATTCTCCGTCTAGCTGGCTCTCAGAATAATGAGGAAGGTTACACTGTTGCTGTAACCTTGGAAAAGGGGGGGAAATGTATATAGTTCTCTCCGTTATTCAATTAGTGGTTGGAATAATGGACTACCATATACTGAGATAGACAACAGGTGCAGCCTCAGCGGCAGTAGCTTCTGCCCAGTGCTGTTTCTCCCTGCTGCATTGTGGCTCAGGACTATCTTAATCGCATTAGGGGGCTGTTGCATTTGGACTCTCTAATGTGATATTGTGATAGATCACATTAGAGAATCCCCTTATATCAAATTAGAGACTCCAGTGTGGACTTGAGTAAGTTTATCCAGTGGTTCCTGAATTGCAGAAACGTGCCTCCAGAGATCTCAAAAAAAATATTTTTCCCTGGGGTACCCACTTGACAAAAGCCGGGGAACCGTAATAAACTTCCTAGTATGCTTTTCCAGAAATCCTTGAACGGCAGGGTCTTGGGAGTTCCATCCACGGCACTTTTGACATCCCCTCCCCATGATAACGGTGGTCTTCATGGGTATCAGAGAGAGGGGGGGACGTTATTTAGTGGGGCAGGGGCAGGTGATGTTCTCTCTCTGCTCCCTGGACTCTGTTCCATGAAGTTCCTCAAAATTTGACGGGATATTGCCAGAGTTATTCCACAAGAGCAGAGAAAGAAAGTCCAGCAAGGATGGAGTTGGATGAACTGGCTTGTCCTCTGCATCGTTGAACTTCCATAGAGAACCACAGTTTGGCAGGACAATATAGCTGCGGAACAGAAGTCTTTCCCACGCTCTGCATTTAATTCCATGCTGGTCATCATTAGGAAAAGAATAGGAAGTAAAACTGTTGATATCATACTACCCTTATACAAATCAATGGTGAGACCACACTTGGACTACTGTGTGCAGTTCTGGTTGGCACACCTGAAAAAGGATATTGTAGACCTTGGAAAGGTACAGAAGCGAGCAACCAAAATGATCAAGCAGCCAGAGCAAGTGCCCTATGAGGATCGGGTAAAACAGTTAGGGCTGTCTAGCCTAGGAAAAAAAGACAAGTAAGGGGAGACATATTAGAGTTCTGTGAAACTATGCACGGTGTGAAGAGAGTGTCGGGTTCCACAGCCAACAACGTAGTACACGCTTGTCAGAAAGGTTATACTTTATTGAAGAGCTATAGATGCATTAACAAAGGCACTGTTAAGAATGGTGTTTCCCCTACCAGCATAATGGGATATAGGGCATTCGTATGCACACACCCCATCATAGGCCAATTAGCCACATTCCTGCGCGCAGGAGAAGGAGCCTCAGACCGTTAGAGTCAAAGCTGGGAACCGACAGCGCTCCCACGGTTATTCCCTCAGCTCCAGACACTACACCACCTGCACATCTTAGAGATAACAGCGTTACAGCAGAGAAGAAGCACAGAAGGAATGCAGCAGTCATTAGTACACAGAAAAGGGAAGCCGATGGCCTCCTGAACTTTCATGGCAGCATAGCAGACAGAGAGTGGCTAGAAAAGCTTTTCTTCCTCTCCCTTGATACTAGAACCCAGGGCCATCCACAGAAATTGAATAGTAGGTAATTCATCTGAAACACAAGGGAGTACTTCTTCATGCAGTGCATAGTTAAATTGTGAGGCTTGCAGCCAAGGGCTGTGGTGATGGCTGCCATCTTGGAAGGATTTAAAAGGGGAGTGGACAAATTCATGGAGTGTGGAGCTCTTGGTGGCAACTGGTCAGGATGATTATCTGCTCCTTGCAGCACCAGACTCAGTGTGCCTCTTTGTCTCAGTTGCTGAGGAGCACGGGTGAGAGGAGGCTGTTGCAATCCTCCTCCTTGTGGACTTCCTAGAGGCAGCTGTTCAGCCACTGTGCGAACAGAATGCTGGACTGGATCGGCCTTTGGTCTGATCCAGCGTGGCTCTTCCTATACATTCTGTGCAACTGACCAGCTGCAGTGTCTCCCCCTGCCACCCTGTTGTGCCTCTGAATGAGCACCCGGTCACTTCAGCTTCTGCTCATCCTGTCTTCCTGTCCGGCCCTGAGCTCACTCAGTCCCTTGAGGTTGTCTTAGCGGAAGAGCCCTTCCCTACTAGCTCCCCTCCAACTTTTGCAACCTCCCTGGACGCTTCCTTTTCCCTGAGGAAGTAACATCCGTGCCCCAAGGCTGTGTGGGGAAGAGCTTCCCTTTTCAGCTGGCTTGCAAAGCCTCTGATACCTTTTGTGGCAGAAATGGCTCCAGGATCTCTTACACGGCTCCGTGTCTGAGATCAAGTTTGGTCAGTGTGGTTGGGTTCAGCTATGCCCTTGGATGACCTTGAGCCATTTAGGGTTGCGTGGACTGAGACAGCCTTGGGATCGGCAGTGGTGATCATGTTTGTGTTTTTCCCAACAGACCTCATTCCCATCCCCAAATGGTGAATATATGCTTTTTCTAGGCACCAATCATCATTTTTTGTGAATAGTATGATTCTATAAGGGATGTGTTGGGTACAGGCCCATAGCCAGGATTTTGTAGCTTGTGGGGCAATTTTTTTTCTGGGTGAGGCTGAAGTTCTCAGTGCAGAAGGAAAAGCCATTTAGCCAATAGAAAGTTGCCACCAGGATAGATCTCTAAATTGCAAACTGTCAGCCACTGTAGATGACAGTTCTCAGCTGCTGCAAGTTAATCACTTCTGCCAGCCTAAGCAACAATTGTAATAACAAGCTGGTAGGTGGAGGTGATGACTTCTGTAGTCAAGAAAGCTAACACTTAGGCAGAAAAAACTTGCTAAAGGAGGCCAGTTTCTTGACACAGAGTTAGAAGGGATCCTAGAGGTCACCTACTCCAACCCCCTTGCTCAGTGTGGGAATTAGTCAACTACTGCACCACACTCTGCTTAAAGGAGTGCACGCCTTTTAGAAATGTTTTAAAATGAATGAAAAAAAGCATTTACAGGAGAAATTATTGTGGGGCTGTGCCTTTAAGAAAGGGGCAGAGCCCCCCAAAACCCCACTGTAGCTATGGGCCTGGTTCAGTATGCAAAAAGTCCTTAAAACGTTCTGGGCACCTCTGCATTGCAAACAGCTGAATTGTTAGAATGTCCTCCTTCCCAAAGAAATTTGCAAAACGTGTGGGTGCTGAGCTTCCTTTATTTAGAAACCCCATGCCACACGCTGATGGCGGCAGTTCCAACACTTCCCTGACAACCATAGCACAAAAAGGAAAGAGTTGGAGCTTTGATTAAATCTGGACTATTGTTATGCCTTCATTCACTGCCGTTCTGAATGCTCCCAGTTGCCCCAATATTCAAAGGTTCGAAGACCATTGTTTCTGCTTTCGGCAAATCTCTCGTGAGCTCTCAGATCCGAATCAACCTAAAGCTGCTATTGTGGCAGCCAATGCTCCCTCCAAGCTGTGGAGTCTTGTGAGCAGAAATTCTACTTGTGAGCTACTGGCACTAAAGTTGTGAGCGAGCGATTTGGCTACTGCATAAATTAGTTTGCTCTGGAGCCATCCTTCCTGAGCGAAGACAAAAATGTGTGAGCCGGAGGCTAAAAACTGTGAGCTAGCTCACACTAACTCACACTGGTGGCAACCTTATTTATCCATTGCATTTTTAACCCACCTTTCTCCAGAACTGGGTGCAAGTGGAGTTACAGCAATGATTGAAACTGTGGACAATGACCATGTGTACGAAGTAATGCATACCTAGCTCTCATAAAAAACAATTAGGCAGCCCTATCAAAGACCTCAGCAATAACTGCTTCAGGAAATCTATCCCATAGAATGGGAGCAGACATCGGGATAGCTCTAGATCAGAGATCCCCAACGTGGCACCCACTGAAACCTTTCCACCACCCACCAAGAGCTTTAGAAAGTGGGCAAGGCCAGGTGAGGCTTTTACCCCGCTAAGTTATTGTGTGACCACCATAAAATATTTTTAAAACATCTTCATTTTAGAAGACACCCCGTTAAACCTAGCTTCTTCCTGAAATGCTGAAAAGGTACTACTGGAGTCATGCATAACCTCACGCCGTGGCGTTTTGTAGCTTGCTCCGCCTCCCGTGGGGGCCAATTTGTGGTTGCACCCGCCAACCTGTGTCAGAATTCGAAAGGTGTCCACAGGCTTGAAAAGGCTGGGGATCCCTGCTCTAGAGCTAGAAGTGGTTGTCCCAAAGAACTCTACAGAAGGGAACAACCAACAGGTGTTGGTCGGAGGGGAAGATTTAGGAAGATGGCGCCTTAGAAATTTAATCATCTTCGCAAACTTGATACAAAAAACTTGGCCATCCACATATTTTTTATTAAAAAAGTAAATTCCTGTATCTGCACTTATTGGTTTACCAGTCAATCCCTCTCTCTAAGGAATCTTGGTAGTTATTAATAAGGATCTCTGATGGAGAATTCTCAGTATTCTGAGCAAGCTAAGCTGGTATCTGATCAATATAAGCTCGTAGGGTAGATCTGGCATTGGAAGTTAATGCCTCTTTTATTGAAGCCATGCTTTTCAGCAGCCTACCTGCTGGCCATTTTTCTTGTATAGATAATTCCCTTAGATATGAATCATCCTGGACCATGCCTTGTGGCGCTGTGCAACCATTAAGTCATTGACCGCAAGAAAAGAATTGTAGGCAGAGAAGGGGAGGGGAGGAAAGCAAGTCCATCAGCTTCCCATCTCCTCTTAGCCAAGATGGGCCAAGGGGTTCATGCCCTCGAGGGTGATTTCACACAGACCCGGGAGCATGTCTCCTACCTTAGGCTGAAGGAAGAGCATCTTAAGTTTGAGGAAGCTCCTTAGGATGAAAAAGGCTTCCACTTGGTGCAGTGGATAGGGAAGAGTCAGGCCAGAGGCTAAGCTGGATCTGACCGCGAGTGTTC